ACCATCATGAGACAGGGAGCTGGAGTGTCCTCCTATGTTGCAATGGGATTCTCGAAGGACGTGTTCATGGTATGCATTAATATCGATTTCATAGCTTATGTTCGCAGGAAATACGGCATTTTCCGTTCTCCCTGTGTGAAGAGTAGTTAAGTGAAGGTGTGATATTGCAACCGTAAAGGAGTTAAATAAGGGTAAATAAAGCCTTCTATTTCGCCAGCATGACTTTCGTCGAAAAAGAGCTTCGTCAGAAAGACGAATCTTCTGGAGGAAAGGCAGGAAGTGTGTAGTTCAGTCTATATCCATGTATCTTGAGTGCTACTTTTCATTAAGAATGGCCATCCAGGTATTAGGGAACGGGCGGATCTTTGGACATCCACATAGAGTGACAACTTCGGCCTCCAGGGCATGACAAATGACCTTGTAGAAGGCCTGTCATTGTCCCCCCCCCCCCGCGGGCGTCGGATATATCACAAAGAGGAGTGTGTCAGTGCTACCAGAATTTCTTTTCATCAAGAAGCAAAGTAATATGGCATAGAGTGGCACGCAAAAAATAATTTAAACTTAAAAAGCATACCTTAGAAAAACGTATCACCCGGCATAAGACCTGCCATTCCATTTTTTACTAGTCACTTTCTGTATTGTTTCTCTAGCGCTTTTGCTCCTGTTCGGATTCGGTGATTGCGCATTCCTACAATCAGTCGTTTGCAGAATTTTTGCACGTGCTGTCTGCGCCTAGTGAGACTAGGTGAGGCATCAGAATCGTCAGTATCAGAATCTTTCTTGAATATATCCGGGCAGGATAGAACACGAACTTTCCCACGTGCGAAAAAATCCCGAACTTTAATGGTCTTGAAATTGAAGCAGGAGCAGTTACGACTGCGTAAAATCTTAGTTTTTGCTCTTTGCGGCGAATTTTCAAGAAAATATGCACTTATCCGCTCCGTAAGACCACTGCTATTATAAATACGAGTATAGCATGGAATGGGATGGTTGCCAATTTCCGCATGAGGGAAAATATATGACTGCATATGTCAAATATTGTAATCTGGTTTTTGTAGATTGTATAACCCATGAATTCAGTGAATAAGCACAATTCGATTAGCCCATAGCTTGCTCTCAAGTGGGATGCTTGACTGAATGACGAAGCTTTGTGGTTAACATCATATCTGCTGAGAAATTTATTTTTCATTTCTGTTTTTAATATCTCGCAAGTATTGATATGGACAGATAAATAATTTAAAGCCCAGGATCCACTTGAACGACTATCAATTTATCCTTCGATTATATTATAATCTTGATTGTAGTCAGGGATAATCTGGGAACCCTTTCTACAGATGCTTTAGGAAGAAAAAGGTTGGTTTACGAATCTCCACGTCGCGAAATAAATAGACTGCATTTTCAAGTGAAAATAATGCAAGATTTTGCTTGTTTTCTTTCTTAGGGACGAGATCATGTAGTGGAATGCGTGACAGATTCTGGAATTTTGGACTTGTCCCGGTCCTACAACCCCGCATACGGCAAAAATTCCCGTCTGCCTGAAGTGAGTACTTCCTTCTTTAAACTCATGACATCTCGTAATGAGTGTGTAATGAGTGAAACTTTCTCATTTTTGACAACTGTAATGGGTCGCCTGTGATGGACCCAATATGGTTATAACCCTGACCGTTTCATCTGATCCAATACTGCAGAGATAATTACAAGATGTCAATTATGTCTGTAGAACTCCCTTGACGAGTATTTGTTGGCTATTTTTTAAATTTAGTATTTGTTTTTCGATCAAAATGAAACGAAACTGAAATTATTTTTTTTAAGTCTTCTAGACTGACAAGTACTTGTTTCAATGGTCAAAGTAGTCACTTTTCCCCGGAAAACGATAATCAAATTTAGATTGATATGAGTCCAGGATGGATCTTCCCCAAGGGACAAGACTTTGCTGATGAAATTGTGAAATTTCAGTCCCAATATTGATTTATTGATTCTAGACCCTTTAAAACGTTTGGAGGAGGAGGGAAGGAATATTCTTAAAATTTGCATTTGTCCGTTTGCAGGGGGAACGGAGACAAGGAATTGCTGTAAAGTCGAGTTCGTTTAGCGATGGTGTTTTGACATGCACATTTACGCACGACTTGGTGACATCTTCGACCCTCGGTGGGAAGTTGGATTTAGCCTATGCCAACCTCTACCTGCTCCTCGCCGATGGGAAAACTACCTCTTCCAGTAAGTCCAGCCTTTTCGATAACCCATTGATCTTCTATTTCTGGTAAGGAATACGTCTCAGAGAAAAATTCATACAGATAAAAAGCATCGTTATGGGATTGATTGACCATAGAGCTGTCAGAAAACCAAATAAATGTCCTATATTAAAGAGGTCTGTTACGTCTTTGCACTTGGACGTACAGGATTATTCAAAACCCTTGGAAGCATAGCATTCATTGCATACATTGTATTTATTGCGTACATTCACAATGCGTGTTCAATTTTTGATCCTCTCCCCTCGATACATTTGCGCAGTCGCTTCACCCAGTTATGCTGGACACTTCTTTGAGGGTCAGGTGTGATTTGAAGACAAACATGACATGCTGTATGCGCTCTTTCAAGTAGTTAATGTCCCCGAATGTTGACGGAGTACGCTTGAACCTTGGAAGATGGCCCCAGAGAGAAAAAGTAAGGGGTGTCAGGTCCGGAGAACGTGGGGGTCATTCCACTGCTCCCCGTCGACTAATCCAGCAACTGGAAACTGCGTTTTACTCAGAGCCATAGAAATTCTTCAATGCCTGGAAAAAGGCCACAATCTGTAAACTTCCTATGGTTTCAGACTTTCGTATAACCCTGTAGTGTCGTCAGTGGAAGTCGAGTAATAAATACGCAGGGTTTCATCGTTCTTATTTCTGGATTGGTTATTCTGGAAACAAACTCCATGGATTTTCCATGGATGGATTTTCTTGGCCTTATTGCAAATGTACTCCCATTTCAGGCATTACTTTTTTTTTCTCCCATCAATTTCAACGATTTTAACGTTTGAATATTCATGGACATTTATGCAGGTAACGAGACTGAACTTCAGCTGCACACAAACCGAGGAAGTTCCCCATCCCCGTATGCTTTCGTGTATTCATCTCTTCCAAGTGTTACAGCTTCACCTGCTCGCATCTCGACACCTACGACAATGGTGAATCTCTTCCTCAGACATTTTTCTTTCATTCTTCCCTAGAAAAGTGATGTAGTCCTTGACTGATTTCAACACTGCAGTCCAGTCGCAGTTCTGTTCCAGTTTTAGTTCAGTCGTTGTTCCGGTTGGGATTTCTTTGTGATAGAAGTCGACAAGATCACAGTGGAACTAAAGTCAGACCAAAGTCTGAACTGTAACTAAAACCGAACTGCAACTGAATTGCCATTTTGAGGTCAACCCTTGTATCAATCTCAATTTGGGTGATATGCGAGAGCAAACACACGCGGAATAATGGAAGAGCTTGGGACCAAGAAAATCCTAGTTATACTCGTATCTCAGATGAGTTTAGTAAAACCAATCTAATGCAGTAACCCTGTCTCTATTTCTCCCTCATTCTCTAGAATTCTTTGCGCCAGTCATTAACTACTTGATTTCAATGGGCACTGCTGGTAATAGGTTAATCCTGTTCAGGTATTCAGATGCCATAAAATAAAGCAGCTCTTCCCCTCCATTGCCTTTTATGGCCTTAAACCCTAGAGGCCTAAATTATGCATACCGACTTACTCACGCGCAAATCGCTGTATTTCACTAGCGCTTTCACCGATTTTGATGAACCTGAAATTGCTGATCAGGGCTGAATTTCACTCATGAAACGCGAGATATTACATAATTTTCTGTAGAGTCGACCAAAAAAGCTGTTTGCTCGTTTTGCTCCACTGTCTAGTTTTGTCTCACCAGTAGTGAAGTCCTTATAGCTGCGAAAATTCAACTTTATTTGCAAATGAGAGTGATAAACCTATCCCTTTACGTATCCCCAAAAGGCCTGTCATAAGAGACAAATCGTGTGCAATCACTCAGTTCCTCGAAGAAATGTTTTGTTTTCCTCTGGGGGATTCCAATAGTTTCCTGTTTCTGCACAATGGCAGGTGTCTCAGATTCACTGATTCTGCGAAGCAGACTTCGTCACCACGAAAGATAATTCACTTTCGCTTGCTATTTCTCCCATTGCCATAAGGGGCACGTAATACGACTTGACGGGTAACTACAGAGTGGCCCATAATACTTGCCCCCCCCCCCCTGCAGTACAACTGGATAAGTAGCGTTAGCACAATATTTGCACTGTAGATTTGGTGGTTGTTACAACACTTTCGATCCGGAGGGTAGGTATGTCAATGAGATATTTTTGAGGTCATAACTTCGGAACACAAAATGATGAAGACTTGCTTTTCGTTGGAAATTGAAGTATAAGTTCTCTATTTTATTGTGGAAATTTATTTCAAAACGTGAACATATTCGAAGGACGTGCTATTACGTCCACCGCCGTCCGATGGTAATTGGGCTGGACGTACATTAACGTCCATCGGAGCGAAAGTGTTAAACGAGAACGAACCTCTATGTGTTAAACATATCGTACTATTCAATTAACTGATTGCGAGCGGTGATAGTGCAACTTTTCTTCCAAAGAAACGGGTTGCTGAGTTTGGGAGAACATCCCCGCTTCAGTTCTCGACTTAGCCGCAATGAGAAGAATAGAATTGCATCTTTGTTTCTGGCAATCCATCGAGGAGTAGCCATGCAATCAGGCTCATTCTCACTTAAAACATCAGTCATGATCAATCAATTTGTAATGATGAATGCGATGAATGCGCAATAACAGCAATCGTTTCGTAGCAATACTTTGGAAAACTGTGACGTCGAGCAGATAGATGTAGAGTTATACTACGGGGCGGGACGGTGAAAAGTATTGTGGGTTATTCCCATCGGGTATAAAGGTTTGACACTGTTCCAAATGTAGTAAATACTTCAAGGGTTTTCGTCGAGACCAACCATTGTACGCAACATGAAAGAGTTTTGCTGTCTCTCACCGCTTCAAATGAAAGTAAATAGTAGAAAAGTATTAATACATATACTAGTATATACATGAGACGCCGCGTAGAATCTATAATTATTATATTTATAGATGAATTCGGGGTCCGGATCCGTGAACGACGTTTATAGTGCGTGTGGCCGTACCATTGGGTGCTTCGGATGTAAGGGCCCCACGTGCGATTCCAAGTGTTTGTCTACCCGGGATTGCAACGGTCTCGTCGCATTCCTAGGATCTCCAGACCGGAAAGAAGTCTCATTCACCCTTGTTGGCCAAATCTCTCAAAATATGGCATACGTCTCTGTCGGCATCTCTACTGATAGCAAAATGGTACCCTTTCAAATGCCCATTTCGAAGGCTTCCCAATTGGTAATTGAGATGAGTCACCCCTTGGATTGAAATCGCCTTTCTTTTCAGGGAGGAGATGGAGTGGTGGAGTGCGTTAATGAGGGTGGAAAAGTCAACAT